CAGGGACCAGGCGGGCAGTGCGGGTCAGGGGCCAGACGCCAGGGACCCCGGTGTCTGCTTCGTAACCCAGACGCCAGGGACCTTGGCGTCACCAGAAAAGGTCAGAAACGATTTTTTTTTTCGGAACGAGGTCAAATCGGGATTTAGTTTGCCTTAAGGGTCAGAACAGTAATTTTGTCCGCCAACCCATGGCGATGGAGGGTCAGATGAGGACAGTACAATCTGCACGAGGTGAGAAAGGCTTCCTCTGCTAAATCATTCGCCACCTTGACCACTTCCATTTCTCTCCTCTTATGTTGTTACTTGTAATAACGTGCGAACAATCATCGTCTGCAAGTGATCAGAGTTTGCAAGTTAGTTGCTCGTTGTCGTCGATGATGGTCGAGCAAGAACAACAGCATGATTGACGGTGAGAAAATCTACAGCTCTTTTTTGGAACAGGAGATCTCTATTGATCTTCCTGGTAGGTCCTCCATCCAGTGGTTGGGACTGGCTGCCCCGCTCATCTTGATACATCTTGTCGAGATAATTGGTTACTGTTCCAGCGTGCAGCTGAAGAAGACGAACGAAAAAGAAAGAAAAAACGATGTTCAGATATCGTGGACCTCGTGCAGCCATGGAAAGAGATGAGGAAGCAAGTGAAGCTTTGGTTGCTTGAACTGCTGCAGCAGTGGGCGTCCGATAATTAAGGGCACGGCGGTTGATTCACCGAGCGGAAACCTGCAAGGGCTATGCGCCATGGGTGCACAGCGTTTGCGTATGTGCAATCTTTTATGGGTTCTACCTAGTCAGCAGTGCTCTGCTAGATGAACAGGAACTGAGAGGACTCTGGTCTCTGGGAGCCGGGCTCCACCTCCACTGCTGCAGGGAGGTTTTGGAAGATTGCTGCTTGTCCAATTGTTAGTGTGAGAGTGATTAAATGCAGGCTCAGATCAGATCAGATCCTCACAAGGGGGTGAGATCGAGTTCGAAACCATGAGATAATTCGTGTCGACATCACAGGTAGTAAGATTGATTGATGCCTGTTGTTGGGACGTTTGTGATGAGACTACTCTGTGTGCAGTGCCTTCACACTGGTTGCTGCAACTGCGATGCTTCATTCATACGTACAGCAGATAGCATGTGCCTTTGCTGCCCAACCTCCAGCAGCAGCGCAGTGGCTCCAAAACTAGCAACAAGTGAAGCAGCTCTTCACCTCTTGCATGAGTAATTGAGTATACGGGCCTAGTTCATGCATGGAAACGTAGAGACAAGTTTGTCCATGGATCTATCTGGTAATCTCTTCTGAAAGTTGGGGGGTAGACATGTGTTTCACTATGCAGAAACACTTGACAGTTCTTCTATCAGACAGTACAGCTGCTGCATATGGGAGTTATGGGTTTGTGCATGAGCTGAAAGGTTCTCCCTTTTATCTCTAGTGTGGTCAAGAACTTTTGCATCTGATGATTATTAAACGGTCAAGCTCAAGTTTAGTAACTGCTAACTACCTCTTCCGGTGTGGGCCATGGGGGCAATCATATGAGCATACGAGCAGTGATAAGATTGGGTTGATAGGCTTCCCTTTATAGTGTGTCAACAACACCTTGGTTTTACAACAAATCCTGTCACGTCACCTTTTCTGGCCCTTTTGCTGATTGAAGTAGTAGTGTCATGTTCCTAAATATCCAAGATAACACTGGAGCTTTTCTTCTTCAAAAGAATGGAGAAGATAACACTGGAACAGCTAGCACGTCCACATGTGTATGAAGCCCTAGGGAAAGTAGAGGTGCTCCACTAAATCCCACAAAGCTATTTTCCTCATGTTCTCTGCCTGATATTTGTACCGGGAATCGATCTACCACGTATGTCAAAGTTCTTGTTGGAAAACCCTAAGCGCATCTTTTGTCGAAACATCGGTAAAAGCGTATATATATTGCTTTATAGGAAAAAGAGAGGGGAAAAGAAAAAAAAGAAAAGGCAAAGTGGCTTTGCATTTGTGGAAGCTGGATTGCCAGAACATATTCTGTAATCGGAACCACGGGCAAAGCTTTTGTATTAGTCAACGATTTGTGATGGATGATGAAGTGGTTGTGGGTGAAGTGATACCTGTGACTTGAACGTAGCTTTCACTGGTTACTTTCAGCATCTGT